GACATGGAACATACATCTCTGTAATGCTTTTAGAATCAACAAAATAAGTGCCACATCATCCCCACATTTGCTGTCATCAGATCCTCAAAGCAACCAAAGTTAATACATATTCTGAACATTTAATCTGTAATATTTTCTCCCATGAGCCAGCAAGGACTAAAGAGATGTAACATTTTTCCTGTACAGTAGTAAAATTTTCTCCTACCAAGAAAAAATTTGAGTAATACTCTAGAAATCCATCAGCTGGTCTGGCAGTGGATAGACCCCCATTGAAAGAGTGGAGCAGGGACTCCAGTTCAATAGACTCCTGTCTAGTCACAAAGTCTGGGGCCAGTCAGCACAGAGACCTCTCTGAAAGGCAGCACCTCCCAGCCTAATTCTCGCTTCTATCTGGCAACTGCCTAGATCCTAAGCAAAGTAAATCTTGCAGATAGATGAAACTTACTTGTTTTCACACCTAAGTCTTCTTTAGGTTGCCTGGATTTGACAGACACATTTGCCAAGTGTTTACTTCTCTCCTTTCTACAACAGATCACACGGGATGTACTTGAATCGTTTCTGGAGACCCACCGTGCTCATTGTGAATTTCAGGGCTGGAGCTCTTGAGGTGTACAGAGCCGTTTATCCACACATGATCCCAGGCTTCTGTGCCTTTTGACCACTCTGCCTGTTTTCCAAGTGTTCCTGTCCTCTCCATGTCCGTCTCTGCTTCCAGTGTGCCTGCTGGTCAGCCTAGTATGGATGAGGGAGGCCCATAGCCACAGTGATCGAAACCGTCCCTGAAACTAAAATGGTTAACAGTTACTGAGCACTGACTAGGTGTCAGGCACGTCATCAGTTGTGTGTGCATTAACCCATTTACTCCTTACAACAACCCTATAATGGAGGCGCTAGCCTAAAGGTTCCTCTTTGAGGTGAAAAAGCCGAGGCCAACAATGGAGGCGCACAGCCAGAAGGCGGCAGCGCTGGAGCCTGACGCAGGCAGCCCCTGACCTGCAGAGCCTGCCCTCCTTCCCACTCACTGCCGCCTCCAGAAGTGACAACAGTCTGCGCAGCCCGGCCCCTACCTTGCTCCTCCATGAATTCTGGAGCCCTGCGTTCATGGAGGCCTCTTTGGAAGCACCTGGCATTCACACCACAGTCTGAGAAAAACTAATTTGAGGGCCCACTCTTTGGAAGAATATCCAAATAGATAACACACTGTCCTGTCTAATCAAGAGAAATGGGGAGAAGGCACAAAAACAATATTAGAGGTGAGAAAGGGAAAATAACCAAATACAGAGGAAGTCTAAAGAAGCCAAAGAAAACATCTGATCATTTTGCTCATGTGTATTTGTGCTACATAGTACATATGAGATGTCCAAATGGAAATGTTAAGTAGACCATTGTATGTATGGTTCACAATCGTCCCCAACAAACTTTATATACTGTCATGTGTCCCCGTGAGGTTGTCTCCAGCAGGCACTTCAGGGTGGAGGGGGGAGGTGTCCCACGTCCCTGAGGGAGGAAGACAATCACATTTCCCTCTGCTAGAGCAGGGGTCAGCAAACTTACGGTTCACACGCTAATGCAGCTCCCCACCCATGTTTGTAAACAGTTTTCTTGGCACACAGCCAAGCTCCATTTCACATGTCACCTCTGGCTGTTTTTGTGCTGCAGTAGAGACCATTTAGTCCTCAAAGCCTAAAATATTTACCATCTGGTCCTTTACGGAATAAGTTTGCTACCCCTGTGCTGGAGTCCTATAATTTTTCCACTTTCAGGCTAGTTTCTACTTTATAGACATTCTTTTTCTTATATTCTTTTCCATTATGGTTTATCACAGTATATTGAATATAGTTCCCTGTGCTATACAGTAGGCCCTTGTTGTTTATCCATCCTCTATATAATAGTTTACATCTGCTAACCCCAAACTCCCAGTCCTTCCCTTCCCCACCCCCAGTCCCCTTGGCAACCACAGGTCTGTTCTCTATGTCTGTGAGTCTGTTTCTAATTCATGGATAGGTTCATTTGTGCTATATTTTAGATTCCACATATAAGTGATATCATATGGTATTTGTCTTTCTCTTTCTGACTTATTTCACTTAGTATGATAATCTCTAGTTGCATCCATGTTGCTGCAAACGGCATTATTTCATTATTTTTTATGGCTAAGTAGTATTCCATTGTATATATGTACCACATCTTCTTTATCCATTCATCTGTCAGTGGACATTTAGGTTGTTTCCATGTTTTGGCTACTGTGAATAGTGCTGCTGTGAACATAGCAGTGCATGTATCTTTTTGAATTATAGTTTTGTCTGGGTATATATGCCCTGGAGTGGGATTGCTAGATCTTATGATAATTCTATTTTTAGTTTGGAGTAAAAACAGTTTGTAAAACTGTAAAACAGTTTGTAAAACTAAGTAAAAACAGTTTGGAGACAGAGCTTGCTAGGAATGCATATTTCTCTTTACGAAATGTCTCAACAGAATTCATTAATAAATGCTAATAGCTTCTTTTCAAAAGACATCTTAAGATTTTGTACTTATTCTATCGAAGAAATGGTCTGACTTCTTAGTATCGTCCACATAAAATGAAAATGAACTATGTTTAAGACTTAGAGGAAACAAGGTAAGTGGGCTTTTCTTTTTTCCTAAGTGGTCCACAGTTTCCACCATCTGCCAGGCCCTCTGATGTTTTTTTCCGAAGAAAGAAATAGCCCTGGGGGATCCTAGATGCTTCTTGCCTTCTACAGCTTTCCCAACATCCTCTCCTCCACCAGTGTTTTTTTGTTTTTTGGTTTTTTTGAGCTTGGCAAGACTCAGCATAATAAATTAATATGAAAAGGTGGAAAAGAATTAAGTGCTAGAAGTTTCTACACTGAGTAACAGTGAGGAACCTCCACACTGTTTTCCATAGTGGCTGCACCGACTTGCATTACCACCAACAGTGTAAGAGGGCTCCCTTTTCTCCACACCCTTTCCAGCATTTGTTATTTGTAGACGTTTTAACAATGGCCATTCTGACTGGTGTGAGGTGATACCTCTTTGTAGTTTTGGCTTGCATTTCTCTAATAATTAGTGATGTTGAGCATCTTTTCATGTGCCTACTGGCCATCTGTATGTCTTCTTTGGAGAAATGTCTATTAAGGTCTTCTGCCCATTTTTCTATGGGGTTGTTTGGTTTTTTTGTTGTTGAGTTGTATGAGTTATTTGTATATTTTGGAGATTAAGCCCTTAGTTTCTACTTTATTGGTTCAGAATTTCCAAACCAAGGGAATTCCCTGGCTGTCCAGTTGTTAGGACTCTGTGCTTTCACTGCCATGGGCCTGGGTTCAGTCCCTGGTCGGGGAACTAAGATCCCACAAGCTTTGCAGCACAGCAGGAAGGAAGGGAGGGAGGGAGGGTGGGAAAGAAGGAAAGAAGGAAAGAAGGGAAGGAGGGAGGGAGGGAGGGAGAGGGATGTAGAACAATTTAAAACAAAAAAAGAACTTCCAAATCATGTAGGTGGTGCAGATTCAGCCCTCAAACATGTGCGTGCCTCACGTGCAGTGTCCCAGTTTCTTTCAGATGCTCTTTTTCTAGCCATGGCCTCTGGAGGGACAGCCTTGAGGCTTCTCCTTGGACCAGCGCAATTGTTCTTATCTCAATTTTAGGGATTCCTGGCTATACTGGTTTTCTTTTGCTGCATAGCAAATTATGGTTGTTTAAACGCCCAGTTTAAGCTCACAATTCTGTCAGTCAGAAGTCTAGCATGATAAGGCTGGCGTCTCTGCTCAGGCTAAAATCAAGTTGTCAGCCAGCTACATTCTCATCTGGATCATGGAGTCCTTTTCTAAGCTCATCCCTGTTATTATCAGGATTCAGTTCTTTGCGGTTGTAGGACTGAACTCCCCATTTTCTTGCTAACTATTGACCTCTCTCAGCTCCTATGGGCCACTCTTGAGTCCTTGTACCATGGTCCCCTCCATCTCAGCAATGGAGAACCTCCTTTTCAAATCCCTTTCATGCTTCGAATCTCTCTGCCTTCCTTTTCTGCCTCCAACTGAAGAAAACTCTGCTTTTAAAGGGCTGGTGTCATTAGGTTATGCCCAAGGGGTAATCTTGCTTTCTCACAGTCAACTGTGCCATATAACATAATCTTATGACAGGAGTAATATCTCAGCATATTTATAAGTTCCACCCATAATCAAAGAGGAGGGCATAATCAAGGTTGAGGGTCATTTGGGGACATCCTAGAAATCTGTCTATAACACTGGATTTTTGCAGGGAGCCCCATTCCAGCTTCCTACCACACAGAGGCCTCAGGCTTCATCTCCAGCCCTACTCAGGCTTATCAAACCCCATCTTGGAGTACAGTACACATTTTTCCTAATCCCCCCCTGAATCCCCATTCAGCTTCAGCTCCCCTTCCCTGCTTTGGCTTTTAGTTTCCTCTTCATTTTCCATACCTGAGATTTTCCTTTTTTTGCTTTCAAGATTTGCAAATATTTCAAATATTTTTGTTATATTATAACCAGTATGTCTAAGTGTTTGGAATGGTTGAGGTTTTTCCTTTAGCAGCATGTCAGCCATACTTTCCAGAATTTTAGGGTTATCAAGCTACATTCCAAGATTACAGAGTCCACTGAAGTCAGTGGATCCTTGGAGTCCTAACCCCAGTGAGGAGCAACCAGAGTTTTACAAAGAATTAATGGTTAATCAATCTGAAAATTTAACAATGTGTCAGGTCTAGGGGATAGTTTCCCTATTTGCATTAACTTTGCTTACTGTATCACTGGGAAAGGGAAGATGTATGAAAACCAACGAAAATAAATTGCAGTATCTTTCTGAGAACTAGACCCTGTCTAATAAAACAGTCAGATTAATTGACAAAAGACAGTTTCCTTAACTGGGTTATCTTGTCCAATTACTTATTATTTTCATATCATTCACCATGACTAAACACATAGTTATTCTGTTTCCATTTCAAATCTGCAAGCTGTTTTCAAAATTGTTGTTGTGATGCTTTTCTTCAGATGTGGCTGAGCAGTATTTTCAAGATAGCATGGCTAATCTTAAGGATGCTGAAGGGATAGGAAAAGCCAAATTTCTTTCAATTCAAGATGATTATTGCCATTTTCTACAAGTCACTGGACAAAAAGAGGTAAGTGAGTTTGGACCACAGCTGACTAGTTATTTACCTGGGCGACCCAGTTGATATCCAAAGGGCTACTCCTGCACTCTGAAAGCATTAAGCATCTACCATGTGCAAGGCATGTGCCAGGCTCCACGGGGAGAGGGATAAATAAAGCCAGGCAGCCACTCTTGGGCAGCTCCCAGATATTCGCTCTCGGGAAACAAAAAAGTTCATGAGAATGTAGATGCCATGTCCACCTGCAGAGTATCTTAAAGGACTAGAAACCTTGAGAACCCACTAGACAGACTCTGCTTACCGCAGCCTGTGGTTCTGGCTGGCATAGAGGGTGGAAGTTAGTGTGTCTAATTCCTCTCTTACTATCTTAGCTAATGGATGAAATTTGCATATCTCATAAGAACTACACAGTGCAGAAGTTACGGCTCACTGTCCGTTGAACCATACAGGCATGTTTTCCATGGCTTGTAAAAATGGAACCAGACCCAGAATTTATATTCATTGGTAGTTAAACCCTTGGGAACTTATTCCATAAAAAGCCTAACAACTACCAGACACCCACATGCTTCATTTATACAGATATTTTTTTCAACTCTAACCTGTCAATGGGACCTCCCTGGTGGTCCAGTGGTAAAGAATCCGCCTTCCAATGCATGGGACATGGGTTCGATTCCTGGTCAGGGAACTAAGATCCCACATGCCGTGGGGCAACAAAGCCCGCACACCACAACTACTGAGTTTGCGCGGCTCAACAAGAGAGCCCACATGCTGCAAACTACAGAGCCCACGCACCCTGGAGCCCGTGTGCCGCAACTAGAGAGAGAAAACCTGCATGCTACAACTAGAGAGAAGCCCACGCGCCGCAATGAAAGATGCTGCATGCCACAACTAAGACCCGACGCAGCCAAATAAATAAATAAATACTTTTTAAAAAACAAAAAACCTCTAACCTGTCAAGGCAAATCCTTGAGATGAAAACCTTTTTATTTCCTCTGCTGTTATGTAGACCTTCTCCCCGACAGCTCTCTCCTAACCCTTAATCCTTCACCCTTCTCTCAGTTGATGTGAGCTTAAGGAACATAGGTTTTTAATCTAGATGCACGAATGTTCGTCAGGCCAAAGTCGGGCTACAGTAACCATAACAAATGGAGTTTCCATATTTTTCTGGATCACCCAACCAAGTAGAGAGGGGCCTTCCAGTGGCCTCAGATTCTAGAACATCTCTAGAAGTTCTATGTGGAGTGCTCAGGGCAGAAATCTGAGGGGGATTCTGCCCCCATCATACCTCACCCCTTCCAGCTCATCAGTCATTTTTACCTTCAAAATGCCCCTTGAATCCATCCATTGGTTGCCATCTCCACCTCTGTCAGTCATCATCTCCCACCTGGACCTCTCTAACAAACTCTGGCTCCCCAGCTGCTGCTTCCACTCTTGCCCTTTTCTAATCCATTCTGAATAAGGAAACCATGGTGATCTTTGCAAAAAGCACATCTGATCAGTGGACTCCCATTTGTAAAATGGAGCTACGCTGGCTCCTCAGAGCCCTTAAGATAAGCCAGAATCCCACATTGCCCACAATACCTTGCACGTTATGAATTCTGCTGACATTTCCAGTGTCATTTTTGCCCCCTGCCCTGATCTGTGTTCCAGCCACAGTGGCCTTTTCTAATCCCCACTTCTGGGCAGTGTCAGCTTTTGTCTCCTGCTCTTGGAAGGTTCTTCCTCATTGATCTCCTGGCTAATGCAGATCCATCCTTCAGGACTCACCAGCTTGCCTGATTCCCCTCCCTCAGACTTCATTAGATTCTCCCCACTATTCTTCATCATAGAATCCTGTCTGATATAATTATATAACAGAGTAAAGTATTACAATAATATATTGTGGACAGTTACTGTCTCTCCCTGACTAGACCAAATTCCATGACAGCAGGGACTCTCTTATTCGTGGTGAGGGAGCGTTGAGCCAATGGGTGGATGGATGCTTGGCTATGGGCTGTCTGACTGCTCTGGCTGCCACAGGGCACCCACCCTCTTCCCCATTCCTGTCTGGCTTCCTGCCCTGGTGTCTGTCATCACAGCTGCCACACCTCACTGCCCTTGCCCAAGTCACCCAAATCAGTGGCATTGATCTAAAGATGTACCTCACTTCCTGAGGGCTCCCCTGGAGATTTTAGCAAACTGGCTCTTTTCATTCTACAGCCCCTGCGCCAGCCCTTCTGGTGCCCTTATAAGAATAGACAAAGCTGCCTCCTCCTCAGGTGGGTGCAGTCCGTGCCAGGGCACATTGCTTAGAGAGCAGAACACGGGCCGGACTTCAGCCCTCCTCATTCTCCTGCCAGGCACCCTTGTGCGTGACACAATCTGTCCAACCAAATGTGTCACCTTGTGCTACGCTCACTCTTGGTTACAGGCCTCACCGTGGGTCCCAGCAGGAGCTGGCCAATGGGGCCGGGCCCAAGGACAGTCCCAGGCACGAGCACAAGGATGTGCTCAGACCGCCTCAGATGTGTCACAGCCTACATGTGGGCTAGGACCCTTTGCCAACAGGAAGGTGATCCTTGGGAAGGAAATGCCTTTTAAGGTAAAATGTAAGTGAAGTTTACTTTGCCACAGGTTAAAAGATACTCCGTGTTAAGATACTCTTCTAGTTGTGGTGCTCTGCTGCTCAGGAAGCTTCTCTGACTTCTTATTCCCCATAAGAAAATCTAAACTCCTCAGCCTGGCATGAAGGTCTCCACCACCAGCCCAGCCCGTGGCTCCTGCCTCATCTCCCTCTGCTCCTCTTCCTACTTTCTCTGCTATAGTCAAATTAGTCCCCTCACTGGCCTTGAATGTGCCGTGTGCTTCCCCCAGCTCCCACTGTGCTCCCAGGTTCCCATGCCCTCTTCTTGGTCCGCCTAAATCCTACTTATTCTTCACTTCTCTCCATTAAGCTTTTCTAACTCTCAGAGACTGTCACTGTCTCTTTCCTTTAAACCCATATCCATGTGGCATCTCTTCCATTGCCATCTCGACTTGCCATTCAAGTTCCTGCACATCTATCTCTAGTTTCCCCAATCAGGCTGTAAATGGCGTTGAGAGCTTCATTTAGGAAAAGGTGTCTGGCTCTTCTTTCCATCATTGGCTCCTCCAAGCCTGACAACCAATTTTCATGGAAAAATTGCCAAACCCAACAGTTGCATCACAGACACTGGAAAGGGACACGACAGGCTTTAGCATCAGGCAAGACCCATACCAAGGTGGGTCACACACATCACAATTTACAGTTTCTCTTCCCCAGCAGTGATTTATCTTTCCATCTGAGAAATTGTTTCTGCCTTAACAGTGCCTTTTACCGTGGTTCCCTGATCCCACCCCCAGCACCTAATTCATATTCTTGCCAATCAACTGAGTAAAGGCCTTGCGAACTCCTCTATCTGGGGAGCGCCAGCAGGATGCCTTCAGGGCTATGCGGTGGGCAAGGCTCCTTCACTGGTTCCTGCTTTATTCGGCTCTATTTTCTTTTAAGGTCCACTTATTTCTCCCATATATTTTTTTTAAAGATTTCCTTGATGTGGACCATCCCCAAAGTCCTCAATGAATTTGTTATAGTATTGACCCCGTTCCGTGCCTTGGCTTTTGGCTGTGAGGCATGTGGGATCCCAGCTCCCCGACCAGGGATTGAACCCGCACCCCCACACACACTGGAAGGCGACGTCCCAACCACTGGACCAACAGCAAAGTCCCTATTCAGCTCTTATATTGGACGTTTGTGATCTCTACCTGTAATCATGCTTTTATGTAGAAGATCGTAGAAGAATTTCAGGAGAAACATGGGAGACCGACATACAGGGCTTTCCCTCTGTATGTCTTGGTGTATGACTGAAGAGATTAATACCTGCTCATATTTTGTATTCCATGTTGGTATAAATAAATCAGATAAGCCAAACAAGATGTCAAATATATTTAACTTTTCACCATGTTGGAATGTTTGCTTTTGGTTTCTTGAACTATTTCTTGTGAGAAATGGAAAACCCTGGAATATGTTCTGGATGTTCTGTAAGTAGATAAATGCCAGGAAACTCTGTAGTTTTCACTTACATAAGAACATCACTGTGTACAGAGGGAGAAGAGCCTGCAACTAAGAGGGATTAAAACTGGCAGGATCCAGATCCTAGTTCTGCCTGCCACTGATGGGCTGTCTGACTCTGAGCAAGTTTCTTGACTGCTCTATGCCTCAGTTTCCTCCTCTGGCAAACAAGGATTAAAATTGTCCTTATCTAAAGGAGATGGTGCAAGTTAAATGAGCTCACACACATAAACTGTTTAGCACGGTTCTTGCCGCATAAAGGACACGATGCAATACATGTTAGCTTTTCTTCTTACTACTCAACTAAAATGGGTTCCTGTAACATCTGAGATGGCTTTTTCTCCAGGGGTCCTTTATGCATTCTCTCTTCAGAGTTCAAACCATTCCTGTCCCCCGCAACACCCCCTCACCCCATGTATATTATTTCCTGATTCCTATTTAAGGAGGAAAGTGGGCTCAGCTCATGAGACACTCTACGCAAACTCATTCCCCTAAAAAGTGAAAATACATGCCAGTTACATCATTTTCTTAGGAGGCACTGATCCTTATCCAGCTTTGAACATTTTATTTAACCAGACAGCTTTTTGTTCCTTTCACAGAGAGCTACCTCCATCCTGAGGGAGTCCCTGGAGGCCAAAGTGACAGTGTATGGCGATCTCAGTCCTGAGGTGGCAGAGACATACCGGCTCCTGGGCGGGGCTGACCTGGCACAGGGGAACAAGAGCGGGGCCCACAAGAAACTGAAGAAGGTAAAGCTGCAGCCCAACTAATGTAGAAAAAAACCCTCCCATCCTTCCCCACAGGTAGCTTTCTCTCCCTCCACAATGCTCTTTTTAAATGAAACTTTACAAGTGGCTTATTTATGTAAGATGACATCACTTTTGCAGTTGATCTCAGCTCACACTTTTTGGGGTAAAAGGTACAGTAATCCTTTTATGCACATAGATTTTTAAATAAATTATCAATTATTCTTTACTATGAAAATAATTTTTAATTTGTACATAGCGTAATTTATCAATCTTTTTTTTTTTTTGCGGTACGCGGGCCTCTCACTGTTGTGGCCTCTCCCGTTGCAGAGCACAGGCTCCGGACGCGCAGGCTCAGCGGCCATGGCTCACGGGCCCAGCCGCTCCACAGCATGTGGGATCTTCCCGGACCGGGGTGCGAACCCGTGTCCCCTGCATCGGCAGGCGGACTCTCAACCACTGCGCCACCAGTGAAGCCCTCAATCTTATTTTATTTTACTCTTTCTGTACACCCAGTTTATAGAGGAACTCTTTGTGTGTTCTTCTACTACTTATGTTTATTTTTTTTTAATTTGGAGTTTCTGTGGATGGCATGAGGTATGGATCTAATGTTATCTTCTTCCCAAATGGCTGCCCAGTTGTCCAGCACCATTTTATTAGGGAATCCATCTATGTTCCAGTGAGTTAACACTTTCGTCACATACTACATTTCCACATGTACTTGAGTCTATTTCTGGATTTCTTTCTATTCCACTTTTCTCTTTGTTTATTTGAATCCCAGTACCTCATTGCCTTAATTATAGAGATTTCATAGCATGATGTACTACCTGGTAGGATTAGACTCCCCTCGTGGGTTTTTTTTTTTTTTTTGGCTGCGTTGGGTCTTCATTGCTGTACGCGAGCTTTCTCTAGTTGCGGGGAGTGGGAGCTACTCTTTGTTGCGGTGCGCGGGTTTCTCAGTGCAGTGGCTTCTCTTTTGGAGCACGGGCTCTAGGCGTGCGGGCTCAGTAGTTGTGGTACACGGGCTTAATTGCTCCGTGGCATGTGCGATCTTCCCGGACCAGGGCTCGAACCCATGTCCCCTGCGTTGGCAGGTGGATTCTTAACCACTGTGTCACCAGGGAAGCCTCCCTCGTGGTTTTTATATATCAGGTTTTCTAGATATTCTGGCATCTTTATCTTTCCACATGAATTTTGGTATCAACTTATCTAGCTCCATAAAAAGTTTGTTGGTGTTTTTTGGAGAATTGTTTCATTTGTAAATGGACATTGGGAGGATTGACATCATTATGATGTTGAGTCATTCTACCAAAGAACAAGGGATGTCTTTATATGTGTTCATGTCTACTTTTGTAACATTCAGGCACATTTTAAAGTGTTCCTCATATAGGTTTTGTACATTTCTTACTAAGTTGATTTCTAAGCATTTTATCTTCTTTAATGCTACTATAAATGGAGTTTTATCCACTGTTACACCTTTTGACTGGTTATTTTTGTGTATATGAAGACTATAGGTTTCTCTGTGTTAATTTTATATTCTGCTAGTTTGCTTAATTCTTTTCTTGCTTGAGTTAATTTGAGCACCGATTCTCTCAAGTTTTCCAGGTGTACTATTACATCATCTGTAAACAGTTTTACTTTCTGTTTTCCAAGTTTTATGCCTCTGATTGATTTATTTTGTCTAATTGAATTGGTTCATACCTCCAGAACAATAATAAATAATGTGGAATAATAGGCATCCTTGCCTTGTTCCTGATCTTAATGGAAATGCCTCTAGTTATTCCTCATTTAATATATGCTGGCTTTGGACAAAGATTTATATATATTTATCATGCTAAGGAAGTATCCATGAATTTCTATTCTCATGAGTTTTTTTTTAATTAGAAATAATTGCTGGGTTTTTTTTTTTTGTTTTTTTTTGCGGTACGCAGGCCTCTCACTGTTGTGGCCTCTCCCGTTGCAGAGCACAGGCTCCGGACGCGCAGGCTCAGCGGCCATGGCTCACGGGCCCAGCCGCTCCGCGGCATGTGGGATCCTCCCGGACCGGGGCACGAACCCGTGTCCCCTGCATCGGCAGGCGAACTCTCAACCACTGCGCCACCAGAGAAGCCCTGCTGGGTTTTTTTAAAATTAGAAATAATTGCTGGATCAAAGGCTTTGTCAACATCAATGGAGATAATCAGATGATCCTTCTTAGATCACTTAATATGGTACATTTTATTATAATATTGAACCAACCTTGCATTCCTGGAATAAATCCCCTTAGTTATAATGAATTATTCTCAATGTGATGTTGATTCTGTTTGCTAATATTTATTTTTTGCAAATATTTTGCACCAATATTTGTAAGTGATATTTGTTTAAGTATCAATGTTATTTTGCTTCATAAAAATAATTTGGAAGTCTACCTTTATTTTCTATGCACTGAAGGATTTTATACAACATTAAAACTATCTAGTCTTTGAAAGTTTGTACCATGTGTAAAACTCTTTAGGCATGGTGCTTTTAGGGGGGAAAATTCCTTGACAATTTTCTCTATTGCTTCTACAAACAAATTGGTCTGTTGAAGCTTTCTATCTCTAACAGGGTCATTTTGGTAAACTGTGTTTTTCTAGGTAATTATCTATTTCATTCACATTTTCAGATTGATTTGCATAGAGATTTGCCAAGTAGTCTCATGGATTTTTCAAATTTCTACTTTTTTAATAGTTATTTTCCCATTGTAATTCTTAGTTTTTTATTTGGATTTTCTCACTTTTTTCTTGACTGAGTTAGTTAGTGGTTTGTCTATTTTGTTAATTTTTCTAAGAAACAGGATTTGAATTCCATGGATAAATTGCCTTCCTATTCTCTATTTCATTAATTTCTGATTTTATATTTATTCTTTCTTTCTTTGTAACTTATTTTGTTTTACTCTGTTGGAGTTTTTCCTATCTTTTTGAATTGGGAATTGAATTCATTTGGGTTTTTATTTTTATTGCTATAAGTGTTTTAGGCTGTGAATTGTCCTCTTATTATTGCTTTAAATGCATCTTATAAGTTCTGGCATGTTGTGTTTTCATTACATTAATTAGTTTTAAAATGATGAAAACCTGGGAACCTTTAAGTAATATAACTGCCCAAACCAAAAGAATTAACCTTAGTTCTGAGTGGGCTGTCCTATAGGTCAAGCCTTTTTTTCTCTTTTTATGACTTCTGATTCTGCTGCAAAAAGCACCAGATTTGGTAATATGTGTGGTGCCTATTTTTTAATGAGATAACATATATTTATTATCAATTAGTCAACAGTAGTTATTGGATATCTTCTATGTGCCAATTACTGTGCTAGGCAGAACTGGGGAAAGACAATGAATAACCAAGATAAATATGCTTCTTGTCTTTGTGTGACTTTCTAGTCTAGGCAGGAAGATATATTAAACCAATCATTTCAGATAATTTTAAACATTACACATGTGCCAAAGACATTACGGTGAGGGAAGAGGTGAGAAAGGTAGCTGAGGGTGGCAGTTGCTCTGGGTTTCTCCATCCCCCACTTTTAAGCTAATGCTTATTGAGTGATTGTTATATCCCTGGCAGTGAGTTAAATGATTTTTATCTATTAACTTATTTAAGCCCTATAGTAACCCTAAGAGTTGGATACCTCTACTCTCTGTTTTTGCAAAGAGGGAAACTGAGGCTGAGAGGATCATTGTCTCAGCCTTGATTGCAAAGCTAGGAGTCATCAGAGCGGGGATTTAGCACCAGGCAGTCCATATTGTGCAGTCTACTCTATGCTATCATCTGTTTTACAGCTTGGGCTTCCACGTAAGATTTTGTTTGAACAGGGGCTTCTTGTGCTTTAAAAAAGTTTGAAAACCAGTGGCACAGTGGAGAGAATGCCAAGATAAGGATATGTAGGAGTCTTTGGGTTGCCACTGACAATACAACTCAAATTAGCTCAGGTATAAAGGACTGTCTATTGTCTTACGGTTTCCAAGAAAGCACTGACAGGCACATGATTAGCAGGACAGGAACACAGTGGAGACTTGGGAGAAAGTGCCAAGGCCAGACTAGAATGCCACCAGGGCTCTCTCTGCCCAGGAGTCCTGCCTGCTTCTCTCTGCACCTCCCCCTACTCCTCTCTCATGGCAGCATCTCCCCTCAAGATGGAAATCACGGTGACCAGCCCCCCAGAGTTTTACTTCCTACCCCTGCTGCCATTTCTCAGTCACAGCTTGGAAGTCCTCAGGGAAAAATTGAGAGGCCTGGCTTGGATCCAGTGCCCACCCCAGATCAATCAGCTGAGGCCAGGGGTGTGGTAGGGAGTAAGAACATGGTGCCTTCAAGGCTGATGGGTGGCCCACAGTGGAGGTGGTGCAAGAAACACGGTCCCATAGTTAGAAGACCTGGGACAGGGTCACTAGAGCCCCTCCCTATTTGGGGGCATGTGCATTGAGTATAATAGGCATGCCATAGCCCCTTCCCTTAAGAGAGTCCCAGTAAACCCCTAACTCTGATATTATGTGCTCAGTATTGTGCTACAGGTCCACACTGTGATCAACGGGAGAAAGGGGATTAGGGAAGGTGTCCAGATAAGTATTCCTGAAAAAGAGCATAGCCTAGCAGAGACAGGAATTCCCATGTTGGAAACGAGGTGGAAGAGGAGACTCAGGGGCAAGAGAGTGAAGCCTGTTTAAGAAGCAAAAAGCGGGCTTCCCTGGTGGCACAGTGGTTGAGAGTCCGCCTGCCGATGCAGGGGACACGGGTTCGTGCCCCGGTCCGGGAGGACCCCACATGCCGTGGAGCAGCTGGGCCCATGAGCCATGGCCGCTGAGCCTGCGCGTCCGGAGCCTGTGCTCCACAATGGGAGAGGCCACAACAACAGGGAGCCACCGTCGTACAAAAAAAAAAAAAAAAAAGAAGAAGCAAAAAGCAGTTGGGGTACCTGTCTGCAGAGGAGCTGGGAATGACCTCGCTGCCATGTTTGCAAGTTAAGGGGCTGAGACTTGATCCTTGAAGCTAGG